CGTTAAATTAAAAACGATAAAAAATTCAAAAAAAATGAAAAATAGTTTAACTAATGCAAAAACTAAAAAAAAAATTTATTCTAAGGAACTTGAAGATTATAAAAGTGCTTTTTACTTTAATATTTTTATTATTTCAAATAAATAAGTAAACATTTATGCTTATAAATGACATCAACTTCTCAATGGGACAGAATTGTGTGCAAATTGATGGATTTAAGCTTTTTGGTATGAATTTGATGTCTTCTTAGAATAATGACAAGAAGCAAGATTAGGCCAGAACCAACGAGGGACATTGTGACTACAATAAAGTTCTAAAAGTCTAGCTTGCAAGTTATCTTTGATGTAAACATCCAAGTTTAAAATTGACGATGTGACATAAGCTCAAGATTTTAAACCGCAGCTGCATATTGCTTGCCAAATTTTATTCATTAAAAAACTCTGAAACTTTATATCCTCAAACTCTGTTCAATAAGCCTCTGTTTTGATTCGTTTGTTGATGTTTTTAATTAATACCATAATTACTTAATGTAATTACCCAAAAAAAATAATTTAATAATGTGTTAATGACAAGTTTTAAACAAAAATTTATCGATCCAAATTAAACGATCGCATGCTTTAGTTTAATTTTAAAAGATACCAATAACCTTTGATCATTAAATCGCGCATTAAATATTTAACAGCATAGTATCAGTATAAAAATATAATACAAAACAATACGTGCATCACTATAATATTTTCATTTATAATTTACTTTTTTTTAATAAAAAATATTCAAAAATTTTATTAAAGGATAGTATTGTGGAGCCGAGCTGGAGCCAGGGAGCCGGCTCCTTGGAATAATGCAGACATTTGGAAAATAAATTCCCTTATCTTTAAAAGCTCAAAGGTGTTGCAAAACTGTGGTTGCAAAAAAATCCGTATCTGGAAGATGGACAAGAAACCCAAAATAAGAGATAAATAGAACATAAGCTTACTTTTGCTTTTCAAACTCATCTAAAAGTTGATCCATGATGACATTAACCTCAGCAATCGTTTTTCCTCTATTCTAGTAATGTTTTATGCTTAAATAAACGTCAAAACATCATGTTGGCATTTTTGCACTTTTTTTATTTCTAGTCAGCAAAGTACCTGTCAGTGCCCACCAATATTATAGCATCTTTTAAAGTCTGTTAAAACTTGATCTTTTGAACAAAAATGGACAGGGAGCCAAGCAGTTCAATCAATGCTGTTAAGTCAATTTTAACAACGCATTTTTTTCACTTTGTTAAACCTTTCCATAATCCTGCTCAAGGTGATTATGATGGCAGTTGTCTTCAGCTGAACCATTTTCAAGTTTAATAACTTGTTACCTTGCTCAACTGTTGCGTTTTGTCATTGTTCAGTTCTTTTAAGGCTACTTTGAAGTTTATACGTATATTTCAAATACTATCAACAACGAAGAACTTAAAAAAATTGATTCTGATAATTGTACCTTGTAACTAATAAGAACCTGTTTGCAGAGCAGAACACGCATTCCAATCATTCTTTTTACTCTGAAACTGTTGAAACGAAATTGCGATATATCCTGAAAATGCCTTCACTTTGATTCACAAAGATAGAGATGGCATTACTATGTTCAACTGATTGCTCATGCTCACTAATTGCTTTATGAGCAATTTTACAGTTGCAAAGTTGTTTGCTAAAGAACTCTTAGTTTTCGGAACAAAGAAGCAAGGTTTTAGTAAACACTACCTCTCTTAGCAGAATATACCAGCCAATTGTGTTCTTTTCTCCATTTACTAGTTTTTGAATAAATAGGTCATTTGAGACGCTGTGCTGAATTCCAGCCTTGTCACAGGTTTCAGATCTTGAAAAGCCATTATTTTGAGGTATTCAGTTGGCAGGTTCGGTAAAAAATACTTTGATGTTCTGAGTTAACTTTTTCGCTATGTACACTAATAGAGTCCAAAGCATCTAAAGCCTCTTGTGATAATACATCATTTAATTTTTTTTGCCAACTTTGGCAAGGACAGCAGACAAGTTTTCTTTTTCCAACATGCATATAAGAAAATTACTTTTTATATATAAATTTATAAAAGTAAACTTTGACTTTTTTAATTATTATACTTTTAAATAATTCAATAGAAAAAAGTTTTTTTTAACTTATTAAAGAAAAAAATTGATTTCCTGCTGGTTAGCCTCTGCAAACGCCCTGGCCCTAGGGTACTACTTTAGTTGGTTCCAACTGTCCCAAATTACAAAAACTTCTAATTTTTGTATATATGAAGGGGGCAGTGTCAATTAAAATTGATTTTTAAATACCATAAAAGTTATTTTTGTAGCCTGATATATCTCATTTTAGATTATGTTTTATTTTTTTGTAAAAAATAATGGGAATGGTCAGCTCTATCAAATTGAATGCCTGTTATGTATACTTGGAAGATGTGGGAAGGGAAGTGTGTGAAAGATGTGGGAAGGAGGATTGTGTGTATTAAAGTAACAAAATTTTTAATTTTGAAATTCTTCATTTTAAATAAAAAATGTCATCAAGCATTAGTTCCGAAAAATATCTTACTAAAAAATATCGTGAAGTTTTCCTTGGTGGAAAAATGAATTAGAATAATAATCACACAATTGCCAACTAAAAAAACTGTATTGCAATATTATTATTACTAAGATCTTATACTTAGAGCTCATTTTCTAAACATATCTTTAGTTAATATAGCTTCATGTCCACTTAGTAAATTTTTTACTGCTCAATGTGCTGAAATGGTCTCAAAAAATGTTTACCATGTGTCCTTTACGAAGTGAAGAAAATTTGGCAAAAAGCAGGAATTCCTTTTTATAATACTGACAAGCACATCAGGTAGGGTTGCCATTTTCTTCTTTTTTCCGTAGGAGAACGTGGCGCTAAACTAATTAAACTGAAGTTTTCACTGCGTTCTCCTACCGAAAAAAGAGGAGAATGACAACCCTAACATCAGGTCTTTTTTATATTAAAATATTTTTTAATTTATAGTTTAAGCAATTTTAAATTTAATTTATATAAGTAACATAAGCTTTACAAGATAACAATTATTTGGTCATAAAAGTTTTATGACCTAATTATTATGGATGAAATATAATTTTTTAAATGAATTCTTCTTCTTTTGTTTTATTTAGAGGCATGATTATTAACTTAAAAAAAAGGAAGGATTTAAACAAACAAAGGAACCGTTTAAGTGAAAATTTTGTTTAAAAAAGAAAACCTTTATCAAAAATGCTAGAAAGAGATATTTGATGTTATTAAAAAAAAAATTGTGAAGATATTTTGATAAAAGATAAAACTAAAGATTTAAAAACTAGACTAAACTAAATATTATGAAAGATTTAGCTTCAACAGCATCATGATATGGAATAAGTTCAACTACACTAAGTGCAAATCTTGCTTCACTAATAAATAACATTCTGGAAAGAAATTTTAAATGTAGAAGATGGCACTGTTGAGTCTCTCAGAAAAGCAATCATAAAAGCTTTACAAGACTGGGAGTTTTTTGAATATGTTAATTGTCTGTCCTTTGATATCACAGTCACAAATACTGGTTAGCTAAAAGTCTGTACTCTGATTGAGCAGTGGGAAGGTTTTGATTTGAATGGCTTGTTGTCATGTCTTAAATAACATGTAAGGTAAATATTGAAAAAAGCTAAATAAAAACAAAGTATCATAAAATATTTTTTGCATTTATTTTTATATTTAATTACGATTATTTCTCAATGAGTTAAATGGTTCATCTTATTATTAAAATTTAAATAAGTAGTTTGAAATAAATATCTTTCAGCACTTTTCAAGTGTTCTTACTGGTGGTAATACAATTGGACCAAACGCTGAGTTATTTAAAAGACTAAAGTGTAATTGAAAGTCAATTCTTGAAAAGAAGATAAATTATTATTTGTGTCTGAGCAAGATACAGTGCTTCCGAAATTCGATATTTATCGAATTTTGGAATTGTCTTCGTTCGGAATTGTCTTCAGTCAATGTCATTTCATTTATTACTTTAAAGTAATAAATAAAGACATTGACTGGAACAGGAGAAGTGTGTTAAATTCAGAGAATGGAAAAAATTCAAAATTGCCTTAATAAGCTGGTTTCAAGCTGGTTTTTCTTTGATTTATTAAAAATGACATTACATGAGACAGGATGACTGAAAATCAGTTCATCAAACTGGGACTTATTTCCTGGTTATATTAGATTCAAAAATTTCGTCACTGGCCTTCATGTTGTAAATGACAGTGCAGTACATGCTATTAAGCTTGGTCAAGACTTCATGGAAACTTTTATAAATGAAGATCATAACAGAGCTAATTTACTGGCTAAATCTAATTTGCTAATCATTGTCTAATTTGCTAATCATTGTCTAATTTGCTAATCATTGTCTAATTTGCTAATCATTTTCTAATTTGCTAATCATTGTCTAATTTGCTAATCATTGTCTAAATTTTCTGACAACAGATAAAAAATCTTGGCTGAAAACTTTAAAATAACTTTTCTTAAAAAAAAATACAATTGTAAAAAATATTTTTAATTTAAAATACGTAGAAAATAACCTGTTAGCTAAACCCCACTTTCTTCATCTCCCAAATATACATAACATGTATTCAAATGGGTTTGATTGACCATTCCCATAATCTTTTGCAAAAAAACAAAACGTAAACTACAAAATAAACTCTAATGGTATTTTTGAAATATTTTAAAGTGACACTGCCCCCTCCATATGTACAAAAATTAAAATTTTTTGTAATTTTAGACTGCTGGGACCAACCATAGGAGTATATATATACATAATTTATATATAATTTATATATAATATATATATATAATTTATATATAATATATATATATTATTTATATATAATATATATATATATATATATATATATATATATATATATATATATATATATATATATATATATATATATATATATATATATATATATATATATATATATATATATATATATATATATATATATATATTTAGATGCTAATTCTTCTGGTTACAAATTGGTTGTTAAGTCTGATAGAAAAAAGGCAGCAGATTTTTTTTACAATATGTTCTCTGATGAATTTTTTTTCGCTCCAGACGAATACGAATTTGAGTTCGGTGACTTCGCTAAAGATGAAATTCAATCAATGGACGATTATTTTGAAAATTTATTTTATTCAAAATACAGGGTTAAATTCTGCGTTAAAAAGAGAAACATAGCGAAAGAGAACAGAGATTACAAATATGCTCATATAAACGAGTCAGTTAAGCAGCAAAATTTACAAAAATCTAGCGAAGACTGTGAAAATTGGGAAACAGATATCTTGCCTTTTGATGTGGAGTTTGAGTTGCCAACTAACCGCGGACGATTAGCAAAGGTTTCTTCTATAGGTATGACAGAGGATTGTTTAAATGGTCGCAGCTACTCAGCGCGAGTTCCTCTTTTTAAGCACTTTGAAGATATAGATTTAAAAGCTCGGCCTTCGGGCGGAATTCCAAAACCCGTTAATAAAGAATCACGCAAGAAAAGAAATGTCAAGAAAAAAAATAAAGTACTTGATGAACTACATGCTTCTAATCGTAATGCAGTTAGAGCTAATGATGGTGAAGTATATATTTTACCTTAAACTTTTCAGAGTTTTTTTAATTGTATATATTTTGTATATATAGGCAAATATGCTACTTGAAAACATATTTGCTTGCAGCAAGCTATGCGTAAATGCTAATCTTATCTCTAATATTCTTACATTTTACATCATAAAACACAATAAAACATGCGTATTGTTCGACTCCTAAAATTAAAAAGTTATCCAAGAATATATAAAATATAGACTACATTAATATTGCAATAAATAAGAACATTAATTTTTTTTTCCAATTTTCAGAATCGGAATAAAAGGTAGCAATTTTTATTAACGATTTGACTCGAGAAACAATTCTAATAAGTTTATATTTGTTTTATGTTTATTCGTGCAAACTTAGTTTTACCTTAAGTTCAGAGAAACCAATTAACACGTTTGGTTATATTTTCATTAAGACGTCTGCGTCTCGTACAATTTTTTATTTTTTTTTGTATATAATTTTAATAATGTTTGTAAAATTCTATTATCTATAAAAAAAAAGTTGTGTTATTGTTATTAATATTTCCTTTTTAAAAAAATACAATATCAAGATATATATGAGGGCTTACGAAAACCTTGGTGTTGATGTTGTTTTTATTTGAATGAAGTAGAAATCAAACTGTCATAATTCTTAATTTAATAATTATTTACATTCTCGTTATCATATTAGACTTCTTAATAAATTTAAAGAATTTCTAGATACAAAATTGAAAAAATAATCTATGAAAACTGTGAAATTTTAACTTTTAACTTAGGAAATATGTTTTTTAAGGGTAATAATTTCTTTCCTGTATCAGGAAATATTTTCTGATTTAATGTATTATATAACTAAAATAACATTTATTTTTTTTATTTTTATAAATTTTTATTAAAGCTAGAAATCTTTAGATGAAAATTAAAATGAAAAATTTGAAGGAATATTTTATTAATTACTATTTAACTCAATTCAAAAAATCTTTGAAAACAACTTTGAAAATCTTTGAAAACAACTAGAAAAAAATAATTATTTTTTAACCTGGTAGGCCAATGAAGAACTATATTCAAAAAGTTATATTCGCAATAAAATTAAGCATTTATTAATAAATATGAAATTAAACAAAATTAAAAAAAATGTGCCTCACTTGTCTCGAAATTTTATTAAAAAGTTTTTAAAAACTTTATAACACATTTTCTCAGAAGTGACAATAGATCAACACACCGAATTTAGTATGGTAGTTCTACTTTTGTACAAAATTCATTTTTCACGGGATTTGTAAATTTGTTTCTCTAGTTCAGATTATATTGACTTAAAATTGTTTTTTTATAAAAATACTGGCTACTAAAACCAAATTGTAGCGCCCCCAAAAAAGGAAATTTAAAAAAATTTTATGACAAATGAAATCTATACATATGAAGAATATATCCTGAAAACCTCAGCTTAATTGCTCAATTTAAACTGGAGTTATCATAATTTAGAAATAAATAGAAAACTTAAAAATCTCTTAATAAGAAAAAATCAATTAAAAAATCAAAATTTATGTTTATAAACACTCCTTAAAAGCTACCAGAGCTATCTGAATCTGTTTTTTCAGTATTTAAGTATCCCTTATGAAGTGATTTATGTTATTTTTTGTTTTTTTTTTTAATTTTTGCATATTGAAGTTGATTTACGACACTTGCTTACAATTCGCATAACTATTGCAGAGTTAATACAAATTTCAAATGTTTTTATTTACAAAAATTTTTTTTGATCAAATTAAGTCCATAAAGTTGAATGAATGTATTATTTGAATTTTGCGTTTCACCAAGTAAACATTTTCTTAGCAAACAATCGTAACATAAATTTTATAATACTATGAATAAATATTGGTAATTTAATTTTGTTTGTGTGTGTATTTGTACCTCTGAGATTTATTATTTTGGCCATCTAATTTGGGTGAATAAGGTCTCAGTTTTTCGTTGCTAAAGTAAACAAACAAACTAGCAAGTAATATGTGTTAATTTAAGTCATGTTTCAGAACATAGATGATAAAGTTTTACATTAATACAAATTGTTACCTTTACATTAATACAAATTGTTACCTTTTTTTATTTTTAAATAAATATATAATTTTTTCAGTTTTTAGTTAAAAATCTCTTTTTTTCATAGGCATTTTTTCATACCGCCTTAACACTTTTTAAATACAATTGTAAAACAAGCAAGGTGCATACAAACATGACTAAAAGTGTAATTTCTTCGCAAGAAAACACAACTAACTTCTATTTCACCTTCTTCTTACAAAATCAATCGATAATTTATATTATACTACAAACCTCAAATATTCATTCAAAACCAACTAATTTTAGTTAGACTAATTTTTTAGTTAACTCAAATTAATCGACTAATTATTTAGTGTAACTAAATTTAGTCGACTAAAGCAAGATTTAGTGCTTGAAAAAAAAATCTTTTGCATAAAAATTTTAAACACGAGGAGGCTTTATTAAGGCGATAGATATTATTATATCGTAATTAAACACTTTACTAATTGTGAATCCTTGAGCCCCGTAAAAACTGTTATTCAAAAAAAAATGATTAATTCGATTAATTCAAAATTCGATTATATCTATTTTTCCCCAGCTCGGAGATAATTGCCTATGAGGTTGTTGCAACTGTTTATAAACACCCAATCAGCATGGAATGTATAAATAATGCCCTTTAGTCAATTAAATCAAATTTGGTACACTTATCGAACATTGAACTTATATTTTTTATGTTCTGCATCCTATAGGTAGTGTGCAATAATAATCTCACATCAAAAATAATCTCCCCTGCCAAGGTCGTACTGACGGGGGTGTGGGCATCTTCCCAGGTTTACAACATTCTGTCGGTTTTGTCAGTAACTTAGAAAACTTGAGACTCGGTCGGTTAAAACTGAGATTTGGCTTTTAAATAAAAAAAAAGCTCTACTTTGGTGAGATTTTTATGATTAAAAAGCTTTTTTCATTTGCACTCCCCTCCTCCTCCTACGTCTTCGTTGTTCAGTACAGCCTGGTTCCTTGCCATATTATAAGAATGAATTCAATCTCTAATTTTCTCAAAAATTCTACGACTCCCCCTCCCCACTTCTTCAAATATCAACCTCTCCTAACAATTAATAAACACCCCAAATACAAAAAAAAACAAAAAAAAAAACAAAGTAAAAAAACAAACAACAGAAAACAAAATATAGTAGATTGAAAAATACAGCAAAAAAAAAAAAAATCAGAAACAATGCATTCTAGTTCTTCCAAACACAGAAGATATAAATATATATTGTGTTCACTTAAAAATTATAAATGGGCATTAAATTCCCTCGCTTTATTAACCCTCCCCAAACCTATTGTAATGTTAACGTAACCGCCACCACAAATTCAATACGCAATATACGAACATTTATTGATGCGCCTTCTCTCCCGACTATTATAACCCGCAAACACTACAGTTAGACAGGCGAAAGTATTGACATAATCCCACAAGGTAATCGTTAAATAAGTTATTATGAATATATTTATTGCTTTCAGAGTATAGTTGTTCGTCGGTTGGCGATATTTGCAAAATTTAAAAGGAAGATTGGTATTTGCATTTTAGAATGCAATATCTGCAATATAAGTTGTTGAATAGTGTATAAAATGTATTAAATAGTACTTAACTGTTGAATAATGAAAACGTTTAATTAAGTAAATGCGCTCGCTTTTAAAACCAGGAAATTGTTTACGACTTGAAAAATGCAATACGTAGTTTTTAAGCACTTTAAAATACATGAAAAACCGGGTCAAAACAATTATCAATTAAAATTCATTAATTTTTTTATTATATTTATTTTTATATTTTTTCATTAGATAGAAGTTAAAAAAAATCAATTAACAAAAAGTTAACTATGATTTTATTAATACTGATTTTATAAATTAACAAAAAGTTAACTATGATTTAGTTTATATTGATTTTATTTAACTAAAAATTTAGTCGACTAACTTAAGTTAACTAAAAAGTTAGTCGGGTAATTTTAGTTAACTAAAAAATTAATCGACTAATTTTAGTTAACTAAAAATTTTAGTTACGGTTTTTTTAGTTTAGTTAGATACAATTTTTAGATTTGGTCAAAACACTCTTTTTTAAATGATGTTTACGTAATATAAGAATAACTATCTAAAAGTCTCTCCATTATCATCAAACTTTAGAAGAGATTTTGAATATATTAACTATTACTTTCAAAACAATGCCCCCTTCTTCCTTAAAAAAAAAAATACTAGTCCTACGAGTTCGCCGCATAATTGGAAAACCTTGGGTGAGTTGATAAGTTGGAAAACTATGGGTGGATCTGGGTGGATCTGTTATAACATCCCGGTGGGAATAGAGCGAGCGAGTAGCTAGCTTTATAGCGATTTTCAAGCGATTTTTTTTTCCTATTTTATTTTTTTCTTATGTCTTTAACAGTTTTAAAAATTCGATTTTTAGTGTCTATTATATTTATGAAGGTAATTGAACTTTAAACATTGCGATTTTGTAGCAATTTGTCGCTAGCTACAAATTATCTACAAATCTATAGCTGATTGGTAGCTACATATCAAAATTTTTTAGACAACGATTTTATTACGATATGGCGCTAGCTACAATAGCCAGTGGGTCTTTAGCTTATTAAGCTAGCAGTCTTCGTAGCCTAATCGCTGTCTTTATCTTTACAAATATTGATAGCTTTTCGCTAATTTAAAAAAGCTAGCGATCCTCGTGGCCATATCGCTGTCTTTATCGTTACGATTATAGCCAGCTATTTGCTAGCCGATTTCCCACCAAGATGTATACCAATTTAACATTTCCAGAATTTAGTATCACGTTTTTTAAAACTACTCACTAACTACAATCACTGTGGGTTGCTTAAAAAAACAGTTAGCCATCGTCAGAAAAAAATTTGTTAGAGTTTTGATTTAAAATCAAGAGCTTCAATGCCAATGCTAGCTCGAAAAGTGTCATTTAAAATAAAGGGGGGCGAGAACTTCCTGGTTAAGTGCTCTTCCGCAATGATCTGTAATAAGACTTGTAATAAGCCTTCCACAGTGCTCTGTAATAAGACTTGTGATAGGTCTTTTTGGAGCACCTTAAAAACTAAAAAAGTACTCAAAAAAAAAAATAGAAACAGGACTACAATACTCTGTTCTTTTCTTTTTTTTTAAGGTTATTAAGGTGCTCAAAATTTGTTTTTTAAGAACTATTGGTTCTTAAAAAACAAATTTTGGCTCTGAATGCAGCGTTTCAATAAAAATAACCATACATACAAAACACGTATATACACACATGAAAACATACATAAAAATTTAATGTGTTTTCATCAGATGGATGAGTAATGGCGGAGATCAAATGATGCACCTATAAACAAAGAGATAGGGATCAAATAAAGTGCTCTAAACTAAAAACGCGTTTAACGTTAAAGCATTGTGAATAATAAGTTTTAATAAGTTTTTTTTTTGTTTTTGTTCTTTTTATTAGATTTTTTAATAAGCGCTTCGTTACAATATTTAAAATA